TTTTACAATTTCAACCAAATCCAGAATTCTTGATTCTGGACARAAACTTAAGATACATAAGATGATCAAATAAAGAGACTTCAAAAATAAGATAAATTCCCATCTTTTTATATGGTTTATAGAACTGAGTTATAGTCATCGTGACCAAATTTCATATATTTTGGGCATAATATGATAATTCAAATAATTTATGCAATGCAACTTATCACAACTGAAATGGCATATTGCACCATGTTAGTAAAACACTCATTAAAAGAGTTCTACAAGGTTTTCTACAGAAATTCAAGTTGGAGTGAAAACCTAACACTTATACGAAACTTTTAAACTAAAAATCACTTATTTTGGATGAGTTGAGAGTAAGATATGATACCTTAAAATCAAATGCACACATCTGTCATTAGTTGGCAGATTGCACACTTGACTTAAATAAATAGGTTCATGCCTCAAAACATCATATTTTTTAGTGAAACTAGATTCAAATGAATCCTAACTCATAAAAGAACGTTTTAGAAGAAGAATCATACATTGAGAACAAGTAAGTAAAAAGATATTAGCATTCAAAGTAAGAGTTACCTACTGGTGGTTTCACAGTTTGCACACCTATAGAGTTTTAKGTGCTTGGAGATCAAAACTCCATAATTTTATATGATTCCACTTGCATATAGGAGAAAACCCATAAATTTAACTCTCAAAAGAAGAATCATCCTTTTTAATTGAGTTATGAGAGAGAGATATGGTCGATGTAACACACATATACGAATCTGTCAAAATCGGACAGATTGCATGTTCATCTTATTTTGAGTAATTAAAACCTCAAATCTGTCAGAATCTGTCATCAACTCTGAGAATTTTTCGCAATGTTTTGCAATTGTAGAACCAAATATAATATCGTCCATATATATTTGAACAAGTAAGATATCACCTTTGTGCTTTTTGAGAAAGAGGGTTGTATCGATTGTACCTTTTTCAAAACCATTGTTGATGAGAAGGGTAGATAGTGTTTCATACCAGGCCGTGGGTGCTTGCTTCAGCCCATAGAGAGCTTTGTCCAGAAAGTAGACATAATTTGGATGTTTTGGATCTTCAAACCCAGGGGACTGCTGCACATATACTTCATCTTGAAGTTTGTCGTTTAGGAAGGCAGACTTGACATCCATCTAATAAACTTTGAAGCCTTTATGAGCTGCATAGGCTAGGAATATCCGGATGGCCTCAAGTCTTGTGACGGGAGCAAATGTCTCATCGTAGTCAATCCCTTCTTCCTGGCAGTAGCCCTTGGCAACAAGCCTGGCCTTGTTCCTTATGACTATTCCATCTTCGTTCTTCTTTTTTCTGAAGACCCATTAGGTTTCTATGGCCGTCTTCCCTTTAGGTAGAGGCATAAGAGACCATACTTTGTTTCTTTCAAACTGGAGTAGTTCTTCTTGTAGCGCATCTATCCAGTTTGGGTCTTGAAGGGCTTCAAAAAATTTCTTTTGTTTTATCATGCTAAGAAAGTTGGCGAAGAGGCATTCATTGGCTGTGGCAGGTCTCGTTTTGACACCAGATGTTGGATCACCAATAATTTGGTGGTGTGGGTGATTTTTTGTCCATTTGGTGCTTGATTGGGGTTCAGGAGCAACAGGATGCAGTTCTTCATCGGCTGATGGGACTGGTTGCTCCCCCTCGAAGAGATCATCTCCAGAGTTAGACTCTGGTTCTTGATCTTGATCTGAAAGCGTAGAAGAAGTAGAAGATGAAGTAACATGAGTTTCAGTAAGAGATGTACCTTTAGCATGGAAGACTTCATGTTCTTCATCCGTTCTGGAGATGGATTTTGCATTTTGTGCATGTCCAGAGATTACTTCTTCATCGAAGATGTCGTCAAATAATTGAGCTAACTCTGATTCATTGGGTTTGCCAATTGATGAATCAGATGCTCTTCTTTGAAGTCCGAGTACTGAACTGTTGTGTCCAGAAGTCATTGGTGTGGAATAATCAAAGGACACATTGATGTTTTCTATGAAGATTCTTGTCCTTTTGATGTAGACTCTATAGGCCTTGGCAGTTTGAGAATAGCCCAGAAAGATCCCTTCATCAGCTTTCTTGTCAAACTTGCCAAGATATTCTCTATCGTTAAATACAAAGAATTTGCACCCAAAGACATGAAAATATTTGACATTTGGTCTTCTTTGGTTGATGAGCTCATAGGGTGTCTTCTGGTGCCTCTTGTTGATAATGGATCGGTTTTGAGTGAAGCAAGCAGTGGAAATAGCTTCAGCCCAGAATGTGATGGGTAACTCCGATGAAGCAAGCATGGTCCTTGCTGCTTCCACGAGGGTTCTGTTCCTTCGCTCCACCACTCCATTCTGTTGTGGAGTTCTAGCTACTGAAAAGTTTTGTGAAGTGCCTTCACTGATGAGGTATTCATCGATTCTGGCATTTTTGAATTTAGTTCCATTGTCGCTTCTAACCTTTATTAGTTTCGTTGTAGAAGGACTTGGAGCCTTTTCATCACTCCAATGAGTAGGTCTGGAACATCTGATTTTTTCGTTACAAATTCAACCCAGGTGTATCTGGCGTATTCATCAACCAGTACTAACATGTACTTCTTTCCAGAGAGTCTCTGAGTTGATATAGGCCCACAGAGGTCTATATGTACCATGTCCACGGGCTTGGTGCAGGAGGTTTCTGACTTAGTTTTATGAGAGGCCCGTCTTAGCTTTCCCATCTCACAGGCTGAGCAGAGATGATCTTTTTCAAATTTAAGATCCGGAATTCCCTTGACCAGCTTCTGTGTGGCTAGTTTTCGTAGTGCATCAAAGTTGAGATTCGAGAACTTTTGATGTCAGAGCCAATTTTTCATCACTCTTATGAGACACAAGACAGAGGGTGTCTTGTCCCGTAGAGGATTCAAAGTCTAGAAGACAGAGATTTCCTTCTCTCTTTGCCTTGATGATTGTTTGCCCGGGCTTCGTTTCTATGATATAGAAACCTTTGCGGAATCTGACTTCAAGACTCTTGTTGCAGAACTGGCTTATGCTTAGTAGGTTGTGCTTTAAACCTTCAACATAGGCCACTTTGCTGATGGAGATGTTTCCTTTGATGAGAGTGCCATATCCCTTGATTGTACCCTTGTTGTTGTCCCCACACAGAACCTCCAGATTTTTCGATGAAGGAGGTCAACTGACTTTTGTCACCAGTCATGTTCCTGGAGCAACCGGAATCCATGTACCATGGTTGCACATGTTGGTCCTGCAAGACAAATTAAGGGATTTTAGGTACCCATTTCTTAATGGGTCCATGTTTGTTAGTAGGGGGTACCACTTGCTTTTCTTTTCCCTTAGCCTTTGCAGTCTTAGGTTTATTAGTATTTCCCTTGCCTTTGGATTTGGGCTTCTTCACGTTTTCATTGGGTTTAACTTTGTATTGATAAACGTGTTGGGAGAATGGGCAGTTATGTGTCAACATATGATTCCTCAGGTTTTGTAAAAGAGTTAAACATTGACAGTTAAGATGCTTTGGATATATATGTCTAACATTCTTTTTATTCGATGGAAACGAAGAAGTAAATGCAGGAAATGTAAATCTTGTCCTAGCATCGGTTGTTTTTACAAACTTCCTATCTAGTTCAAGTTTTTTATTTGAAGAGATCTTTGGCTTTACTTCTTTTCTCCTGAGGAAGGTCTGCTTTTCTTCAGCTGAATGAGAGGAAACTTGGTGGTTAGTTTTCTTAGAGGCAAGCCACTTCTGTTTTTGCTCACGAGTAAACTTAATGAACTTAAAG